ATATGTTAACTTCTTTTAATAATAAATTAATAATATATTATATTTCACATTAATTCACCGCCTCCCATTTGCTGCACACAACTAAAGTTTCCTCAACGATTTTTGTTTTTTAGTTGCCAAAACAACTCCATTTCCCATGAGCCTTAGCTGTTCGCGTGGTGCTAAAGCTTCCTGGGAAGTGTAGTCGTTGAACGCTAAAAAAAAAAAATAAACATTTTGGTGAGAGCAAGCTACAAACATGTCAAGCAGACAACAAAACAAACAAAAAATAAACAAATTTGAGGGAAAATGTAAATAAAACGTAACGTTGTCAAGCCAAAAAAAACTAACGTACGATTCTGAAGAGAAGGTGCCATGTTGTGTGACGTTTACCGGGAAATCGAAACTTATTTCGGGCGAGGGCTGAACCGAAAGTCGGCTCAGACGTTACGGAGACATGGGAGCAGAGTTTAGGTGAAAGCGAAAAAAATGTAACTGTCTTATTATTATTTTTTTAATGTAATTCGAGTTGACATTGCGACTGTAATTGGTCATTCATAATGGAAACAGTCAACTACGTAGCTAAACTAAACGAGTATGCGCAGAGAAGACGCTCGTTGCTGACATTTGAGGAGGTTGGATCTGTTGGCCCTGATCACATTAAAACGTGAGTTCAATCTATTCTCTGGTGGGATTTACGACCTGCAAAGTCAATGCAGGATTTGAGGATATCTTGGGAGTAGTTGAATTGTATTTTCCCTATTTTGTGTATAGGTTAGTATTCTGTATGTTGCTTTAGGCGATCCAATGCCCCCCCAGGTGTTTTAGAGCACTTTCCACTAACCAACACACTTTAATCAGCTGTTATCATATGATTTACACATTGTATACCTTAAGAAATATTGTAAGTGTTTACTGTTTTCTGTATATAAAGAAAACGCCTGTGGAAATATGAAAAATACTGCAGAATATAGCATGTTATGAATGTAACACCACTTCAGATAAGGCTGTAGTAGTGGCCTAAGATGTTGAATCTCAATATTATTTGGGTTTTGATTGATCTGTGTCTGTTGCATCAAGTTTGATATTGAAAAAAAAATGTTTTGGAATCAATACCCACATCAGGAATCATATTGACACCAGTAAATAAAGGTTTCAGATGATAACCAGCTGTTAACGCTGTATGATATGGTAAAAAGGAAATCATATTGCAGTTGTTTTTGCAGATCTTATGATTGCAATATGATAAACAATGAATGGGAATTATAATGTTTGTGTCACAATTTTGATTTTCACTGAAAAATCTTAATGATATATCATTTTTTGGGGTCTGTAGTACCAAACAAACCTGTTTTCTTACATCTGGAGAACAAGATTTGTAGGCCTTGCAGCACTTCATTGTTTGTGACACATTTTACCTTCATCAAAACACTGCAGCTTCTGCCATTTGGATATTGCACTTGGCCATATTGCAATTTTGATAATATCTTGATTAATTGTGCAGCCCTTGTTCACATGTAATAAAATTAAAATGACTATCTAAGGGCAGTCCAACACAGTTTCCAGACGAGGTGGTCCAGGACTATGTCAAGTTAATAACTTCACCTTCTTAGATTTTAGGTGTGCAGATTCCTGTCTTTATAATCCATCACACCACATTTTCGAATCATCTTGCCTAACCAAGTTTCATTTAATTTTCTCAGATTTACCCTAAAAGCGGTCGTGAACGGTAAGGCGTATCCTGATGGTGTGGGGAGAAACAAGAAGGAAGCCAGACAGAAAGCAGCAGAAAATGCCCTGAGAAGCTTATTGGAGGAAGAAATAGATTCTGTAAGACTATTATACGACTTAATTGATTTACTACACATGTGAATTTCTGTATTCCATAGCAATGCAAGGCCTATTGAACGACACACAAGGTGTTTCTTGTCATCCTAACAGACAGAAAATGCACCAGAAGGTTCTCCTGCACCGGTTCATCAGACAGGCATCATTCACAACTATATATGCTGGCTCAATGAATATGGTCAGAGGAACAGGAAGACTATAAGAGCTGTTGAGTTAACAAAACTGGGACCAAATAATGTTACTATGTAAGCTTCCACACTGCATCCTAATTCATTTGTAGTTGTTTGCTCACCATAAATGCATTAAATAAAGGTTTTTTTTATGCTGTTAGATGCTGCAGCTTTGTGGTTGGTGATACGGAGTATCCAGCTGCCACTGGGAAAACAAAGAAGGAAGCTAAGGAAGAGGCAGCCAAGCTTGTATATCATGAGATATATGGGAGTAAGACTACAGAGGTAAGTAGTAATACACACCAGTTTCTCCTGGCTTAATTCAAGAAAAGTGCAGAGGGAAGGAAGGAATTAATTGACGTCATTAATGTTTAATAGATTTTTCAAATGTTCAACAAGCTACACTTCATTTTTATTTATTTATTTGAAGACTGTAGAGGAGAAAAACACCCTATCAAGTCAACCAGAGAAGGAACTGACTCAAAATGTGTCAGACATCTGGTAAGAACAAACCTGCGGCAACACATTTTTTCTGTTCGGTTAACAAAGGTTTTAATTAGAATCTGATTTGTGTTTGTGTTACAGTGATAAGACAAAGAGCTTGAGTGTGGTAACTAAAGTGGAAGAAGGTTTTTCAGAGACAAATTTCAGAGGAATCATCAACAACTACTGTCAGAGAAGAAAGCTCTTGCATGATTACGTCTTAGAGAAAATATGCGGTCCACCACATAACCGTCAGTGAGTATGACCTGAATAGATACTACAGACACTGTATCAAAGCTCTTGATAGATATCAGAGAGAAGTCTTCACACATGATCTTTCCTCCCTGCCTCCACAGGTTTTTCTACAAATTAGTGATCAACAATAAGGAATACCCTGTGGGAGAGGGCAAGAATGCCAAGGATGCCAAACAAAACGCAGCTCAGCTGGCCTGTGCTGCTCTTAAAGAAGATAAGTCAGACTGGGACAGCAAGGTAATTCATATTTTAGTTTGTTTTGATATGATAAAATGTGTTTTTTTAGTAGGCCACCTTGTAGATTGTTAACAGGCCAATTGCGTATATTTCCTGAGGGTTTTACTGAAAGGGTAACTTTGGTATATTTCAACCTGGACCTTATTTTCTCATGTCGTAACCCGAGCCGCACTCTCACTCGATACTGGACCAAATTCAAAACTTGTTGTCCCCATTAACAAAACCAAAGACACCACAGCTTCCCTCCTTTTAAAATTCCTTACTATAAAACATGTAACCACCATGTCAAATCAGCAAACTCAGCATAATTGTTGAAATCTGTTAAAGGGACAACACTTCAAGCTTTAACAAAAGGATTTAAATCAGTTCTCAAGCCTGTTATTTAAACCATTAATTCATTACACTTACTACCCACCCTGCATACCTCACGATGGTTGTGTATGCAAACACATTTACAATTCGGTGATTGATCATATGACATTTAGGGTGTATTGTAGATACTTGGGTAAAGTGAAATTGATTTAAACCTTCCACTCTATTCTTAAGTTGCATGTCGCTGGCCAATCTTTCCATGGTGCTGCAAGATTTGTATAATTCCATTATTTTATTGTGTTCTTTAATAAAAATACCTTATGAAACATGAAAAAAGGGACATTTACATTAACTACATTAACTGTTAAAATTGGTCAGTCCTCAATAAAGACTGAGGCGACAGTGGTAGGTGAGGTTCTTTTGAACATCTGTGGTTTTAAACGTTAAAATAGTAAAATATCCGATTAATGTCAATCAATAACTACAAAACATGGTACTGTGTATAACAGCCGAAGATTTCCTTTCTGGTTTCAGCTGTCAGGGTCAGGTGTGTCCGATGATAGTGCAGCCAGGCTGTCCACACCACCAAGCACACTGTAAGTCACTGATTTAGCAGTACAACAGATTGTTTGTTGTTGAGAATACTCTACTAATGTGTCTCATTGTATTCTCCAAGGGAGTCCTGTGACACAAAATCAAAAAGCATGCCAACGCCTTCAAGTGACTCAATTCTTTTCATCAACTCATCGAATCCTCCTAAAGATAAGGTCTGTTATTTTACTCTGATACTGTTCATCAATTTGTAATGCTCAGTCTATTGCAGATGTTATATTGAGTTGAATTTAATGACCTTTCAGGTGAAGCCAGTTTACTTAACTGGTCTTGATTACTCAAATGCCAAAGTGAGTTAATACATCACTGTGATGTTTTTTAGAAAGTCCTGAGGGTCACTAATGTATTCAGTGAGAGTGAACAAGTAAGTGATGCTATTACCAAGAGGGTGTCAAACGTCCACTTAAACTTATTGATGAAGTGATTCGATTTTGGTGGTCAGAGGTCAAAGTTACACATATTTTAAGAATTGATGACCATATTTCACAATTGGTCAGACATCAAATTGGTGACACTTTAGACTCAAAGGCCAGATCTTAGTATGACCTAGAAATTACCTTGACAAACGGGTTTTTTGGTCATAACTGAAGAATTGATGCATTAATTATGACACAGATGTTGAATGGGATACAACAATGAAGTGATGACATTTTTTGTAACCATTTTTTACATTTGGTCACACTTTGGACTCAAAGATCAAATGTTATTGTTACCTCAAAATAGGTTTATCTCTCATCTTAACACCCGACCCATTCTGCCTTTCACATACTACCGAATCATCTGAATCACATGACCGCAAACAACGTATTGGACTGCACCTAGCTAGTCGCGATTACCCAAAAAATACACTTTATACTTTTTTATTAAAGTATTCACTACTATTATTTTACGAGTCTGGACAGACATGGATGTAAACTGCCACTTAACTGGCCAGCTGGCACTGAACTCTGATCTCTTTAGTTTACTGAGAAATACAGGAGGACTTTAATTATGCTTGAATATAATAAGCTATATTTTCCTATTTCCTCATTACAAAGGTTCAAAGTCCTGATGTGAAGCCCAGAATAAGGTAAGCCACATTTTGAGGCCCACTGTAAAGCTACAGTACATAATACTAAGATTTCACCTGATGATATTGGTGTCATTTCTTCTTGTCAGACTTGCAGCAAATTTCCCAAATGCCCTCAGAAACAAGGACGACAAAAGTAAAGTACGAAGATATCAATCATGATATTTTATCTTGTTGGATTTTGTTTAACATTTTAATCTCTATATCATAACTTTATTTTATTCATTGAGGATATAATAACCAATTTCAATGGCAAGACTACAGGAAATAACCAGAATGAGAAAACGACCACACCATTAAACTCAAGGTATGGAAAATTAAAACGTTGATTTACAATATAAATTAATATAATATATATAATATATATTATCACTGCTGTGGCCTTAAAGGTCTAGTGTGTAGGATATAGAGGCATCTAGAGGTGTAGTTGCAGATCACTCTAGAGCCAGTGTTTGGTTTGTCCCTTCTAGGCTACTGTAAAAACATGGCAGTTCAACATGACGGACTCCAAGGAAAGCAACCCACGCCGTCTGTAGATAGCTCATTCTAAGGAAAGAAAAACACATCAATTCCTATAATCAGGAGATTATACATGAATGGAAACATAGTTAACTATATTATATTCCATTTCTGCCAATAGATCCTCCTAAATGTTACACGCTGGACCTTTAAGTTTATCTATTAATGTACAATCAGTCAGTACAATCAAGACATTTTTAGATTATGAATACTCTTTTAATCCCAACAGGTTTGCATCAGAATTTGACTCCATTATGTGCCTCGGCAACGGAGCCTTTGGTGTTGTTTTCAAGGCAAAACAAAAACTGCTGCAGAGGTATTTTGCCATAAAGATTGTCCACTGCAAAGAGTAAGTGAAGTATGAATGATGTCTCACTTAGTTTCCTTTTTTAAATGAGCACTGTATAGTTTTTGAACTGTATAGTTTTTGAAGAAAAAGTTGAAAGTTTCTTTAACTGAGCCATTTTCTTGTTCTCCTTTTGATTAGAAAAGCTCTACGAGAGGTGGGCGCGTTATCAGAGCTCCATCACGCTAACATTGTTCGATACTACACGTGTTGGTTGGAGGATTCAGAATACCAATCGGACAAAGCAGCTGACAGTTGCAGCTCTTCACAGTAAGTCCCATCCACTTAAAAAATCCTTACTCAACTGTACTTTTTTACTAAACATGAGGGCATGTCACAGCTTTTCTGTTCCTACTTTTCCAGGTCAACCGATGATTCACAGGTGAAGTACCTCTATATTCAGATGGAGCTGTGTGACACCAAAACACTCAGAGTTTGGATAGACGAGAAGAATATTCAGAACGTGAAGAAATCTCTGCGAAACTCCAAGCGAAGAGAAGAAAGTCTAACTATTGTTAAGCAAATAGTCAGTGGAGTCGAGTACATTCACTCCAAGATGTTCATTCACAGAGACCTGAAGGTGAGATGAAGTGGCTCAAGTCATAATTATAATTAATAATCAGTCATGAAGCTACATATTTTTACATTTCCTTCCCACCAATAGCCTGCCAACATCATGTTTGGACTGGATGGGGAAGTGAAGATTGGAGACTTTGGTCTGGTCACTGCTGAGAACGATGACGATGAGAGAACGTACTACAAAGGAACCCCATCTTACATGGCTCCTGAGCAAGTAATAATGACATTAACTTAAGATTCTGTGGTATTATTAAATATTGGTTGTCAAAGGGAGACATTTAAGATACCCTGTAGAGATTTTAACAACTACTTGGACTGTAGCACCAAAGTGCCTTTTGTTAACATTGTGTTCTTGTTTTCTAACAGAAGAGCAGGAGCATATATGACCGGAAAGTGGACATATTTGCTTTGGGGTTGATATATTTTGAACTCCTTTGGAACCTCTCTACTTGCCATGAAAAGAAAGCGGTGAGTTCAGAGATAACATTAACAGTGACTTAACATTAACTGTTTTATTCTAAGTATCGGCGTAAATCAAAGAATGAGTCATGCACAATACCAGGACCCTGAAACTAAAGCATCTAAATCTAATTCTAATATCTTTTATCATATTTATACCCGTGCTTTTCCTACTGTGACATCTCAAAATGTCTTGTGAAAAATACAACGTGGATCAATTTGTATAACGCTAGTTATGTGTTCTTGAATGAATTTCAGATTTGGGAAGATGTCAGAAACCAGAAACCTCCTCAAGTATTCTCAAACAATTTTATCCCTGAGGTAAACCAGCGTTCTTTCTTTAACTTGACACATGAAACAATTTTTTCCGCAGGGTGACAGTTGGTAGTGAGGCTAAGGTTGTATGGGTTTGCACTGTTACCACAGTTCATCAGTGAACCCTCAAAGGATGAGGAGGCAAAACAGGGGTGTTGATGTGTTTGTGTGTGTGTATAATGTAATTAAAATGTGAAATATCAAGCAGGATAGATGACTCAAATGTTTGGGGAAAAGATTAACTTTGTTAGGTTGTCCAAGTAAAGTCAGCTTGAGCGGAGCCTCAAAGACACTGGCAGCATTTATTGATATTATGAAGATCACAAGAGCTGTTTGTGTTTTTTGTTGCAGAACCAAATTATAAAGTCGATGCTGTGTGTGAAGCCAGAGGACCGACCTGAAGCAAGTAAACTAAAGATGGATTTGGAAGAGTACACTTGCGCACTTTTGATGCATAAAGATAGTAAGACTGTCTGATTATTACAAGGAGATACTCAAACTATGGGCAAATGCATCAGTCATGACTAGGCCTGTCTATTATATGCTCATGATGTCTTGAGCTGACCACAATCATGTTCCACAAATGTTAGATCTACAATCAAAAGTTTTAAAGCAAAGTACATGAAACCAACATAAATGCCATATTTCCTCATATTTTCCACATTGTTTTTCTGTGCGTTAAAGAGCTGTGAGGATAGTTGTGTCGGAGATAATATAAACTGCACGGTTTCAATATTTATAAACCTAGTTTAGAATTGCTGTGCAATCTAATCTGACCAAACCAGCTGATTAGCTGATCTCTCATATAATGTACGCTACAACTTTATTTATTTGACAAAATTGTTTCCATCATGTATTTGTTACATAAACTTGCATGGGCAAAAAACAACAACACCTCAAATGAATGCAAAACCTTTTTGGTGATATTGTCAAAGTTTTGTCGGACTTGGATTGAAACATGGCTGTGTTTCACCATTGAATATTGACTTAAAAATCAAGCATCCTACGTTAATAGAACAACTTTTTCTCTACATTAGGTCAACCTACACAACAGTTTTAGAGCAGGCTATTTAAAATACATCTATGTGCTGCAGAGTGTGAGGTGAAACATTGTTTCAAACGTTTTGAAGATTAATTGACGCTTCTTTGTGAATCACATCGTTTCGATGAGAAGCCATTTAGTTATCTAGTTGCAAAGTCAGTCACAACAGCAACTCTGTGTGGTATCAAATTAACAGAACCAAATAGCAAATGAATTGTATGAAAATTAACCATCAACTAAAATTTAATCAGGAGACTCAAATGATGACCGCAAGGTGACAGCAAGGTGTATGAGCATGCGCTAGAGGAGTAAATGGCAGGATGGAAAGAGAAATTAACTACAGGCCTATATGCAAAACTCCTGACTGAACTTTTACTAGAGCTACATTTTCATGATTTTTACAGCATTAGTCATCACAAGCATGACTATTAATTCAGACTCATATATAATACTCAATAATACTTGTACTTGGAAGTTTTTGATTGCTACGGAAAGTGTCTCTTTAAATAACTGTTTTTATAAACTGATAAACTGACTGTAAATGTATTATAATTATGTTGTATTGATGGGAAAGACACATAACCATGTGCATTTTATGATCAAGGAATGCCACATTATTCACTTTTAACAAATTATCATGTCTTGGGTTATTACTTTGTCAACTGGTACTGAAATAATGTATTCTATATTGGAAATGGTTAAATGTGTTTAAAGTGATGTCACTTTACAACCTTTGCTTTGTAAAGAAAAAGCTGAATTGGAAAATAAAACTAGGATGTAATGGTTCGTATTCTATAAAGTTTGTATATGTACTGTTATATTTTGTTATGTTATATACTGTGTTTGGGGTTTAGTGTGTGCTGGATGATGGGGAGTCTTCTACTGATTATTTGCTTTGTTTTTACATTCAAGTGAGTCTGTATGGGACTTTTATCACCTGAGTGTAATGTGACCTGCTTCCAGAAAATCACCATTAGGGAGCAAATGCTTCCACTTTATGATCCTGTCATTGATTCTGAACTGTAAGTGCAATGCGACCATGTTCAGATGTAAAGATTCAGCATGTGACACATAGGAATAGATCTTTTTTCGCAGCAGCCATTTTGACATATAGTAGTAGGGTAATCACAGGTGTTACCAATGATAAAGCAGAGCCTTTCCAGTGAGACAACATGCACAATAACAGCACCCTGACTTTGACCTAAATGTAACAGAACCTTAATTACTATGATTGGTACCAAACTATTAAATGTCAAAAGGGCTGCTGTGAAAAATGTCTGTTACATTTAACATATAAATATTTTCTTTCAAGATCAAGATCAGCAAGTGCTATACCCACAAACAGTGTTAGAGAGTTGTGAACTACTAAACTAGTAGTTCAATTACATTTTGTAGTAGCTTGCTGGTAGTTCAACTAAAGTAAAAACTACAGTGTTTTTTTGTTTTGTTTTTTGCTGTTTTTGCATTATATTTTTATAATTTTGTATGAGATGTAGATTGTACTTTTTTTATAAAATAGTTTGAACAACTTTTACAAACCAGATTTATCTATAGGTTAGCTTTGCGCTATCCAGTTCAACTTGAATTGTGAAGTAATTGAAGCTATGCTGTCGGAGTGGCTTCCCCTACACCACCTCCAAGCAGTGCTGCTACTGTCTGCTGTGATAGATTGTTGAGCCTTAAACGGTAAGAAGTGGAGTTGATTACAACTTAAATAATATAATGAATATTAAATTATTATGAGCATATGTCAGTGTATCCAATGGATAAGACTATAACAGGCTGCATTTGCAGTGTAAAAGTATAATGAGTGTGCATCACACATGATGCACATGTTTACATTATATCAATATTAATGTTTA